GCTCGGGCTCCCGGCGCCGCGGCCGGCCCGAGGCGGGAGCTGCAGGAACGCACGCGAGGCGCCGAGCGGGGCTCTAGTGGCCGGAGGCCGGTGGCTTGGCGCCGCGACGAACACCCGGGTTCGAGGAGGAGCCGCTGCGGCCGTGACGCTGGGCCGTGCGCTCCGGCCGCAGGCGCCCTCCCTCCCCCTCCGCGGAGGTAGCGCTTCGCTGGAGGCAGCGGCAGCAACTAAGATGGCGACGCCGCTCTCTCTCGGGTCCGGCGAGGGTACCCGGCCGGGGGCGGGGTGCAGCGGGAGGGGCGGAGAGCAGGAGACGCGCGGCGGCCCCGGGAGCGCGCGGAATGGGGCGCGAGGCGCGTGGGGGGCGCGTGCACGCGGCGGGCCCGAGGAGCTCGCTCCTCCGAACCTGCTGCCCAAGCCCAGAGGGCGCGCCCGCGGGGGATGCGCCCTGGGTTGTTTCCCGACCAGGCTGGAAGGGAGGTGTGTTTGTATACACCCCGACCACACGCAGCCCGAATGCACCACTGCTCGTTCCTACGCACGGCCCCAGGCTCGAGCGACCGAGCGAGCGGCACCTTGGGGCCAAGCCTCGCTTTCTATCACCTGAAGGACTTGTCCCCTAGCCCCACCCCCGTCAGCTCTGCGCAGCCCTGGGCTCTTAAGCGCCAACACCCTGTATGACTTTGAACAAGTCCCGCCACCTCCCAGAGCCTCGGTGTCCTCTTGTGCCCAGGTGATGAGGGAACTCGCGGGGTCGTGCCAGGTGTTCAACGGAACAAGGGCAGCCGGACGCGATAAGTAAACAGTCCAGGACTGCACAGCACGTGCCGCGGTGGTACCAGCCCAGGAGAGGGGCTTACCTGCCCACAAGGAGTCCGTCCTGAATTTGTAATTCAAGATTCCTCCATTTGCTGAAGAAATCTGATAGTGGTGTTTTAAAGACGTGGTCTTTCTAAGCGATCCTAGTGTGAGGCTAGTGTCCCTTAGAAATTAAGAGAGCCAACTAGATAAAGGAGAGGCTCTCCCGTGGATCCCTGTGGAGATCTGGGGCACCCCCTTCTCTCATCTGGTAACCTCGACCCCTGGGATCCCCACCCTTCTACACTAGAGGAAGGGACTCCGTAACAGGTGAGCTCTGTGTGCCAGGCATTGTGGTCCATGGGAGGAATTGTTGGCTCCATTTTGCAGATGAGGAAACTAAGTCAGAAAGATAGTATGATTTCCCCAATTGAGACGAATACTGTAAAAAGAATCAGCCCTAGAGGACATCTCATTAGGGAGATGAAACACCTACAGCAAAAAAGTTAAATAACAATAAAATGTTAATTATGCCAGACTGTGCTGGAAGATAGCAAAGGTGACTCACTGCCAAGCGCCAGTGGGCCATGTGTGCGGTAAGGGCTCAGCTGGCTGGTGAGCTCTCGGGCTTGGGACTGGGGGTCAGTGGAGGGAAGTGGGCAATCTTGGAGGCTATGAGGAGAATGAGTCAGTCTCTGGGTGGAGCAGAGGACTCATTTAGGAGACTAGTGGGCAAAGATCCCAAAGATGGGGAACAACTGAATGAACTCCTACTCATAACAAATTCTTCATCACAATCTTCACTCACTGCACATACAACTTTTACGTCATTGAAAAGGCTTTGAGCCCTTTCTTGCGCTAAACAAAACCAAAACCAAATCCATCAAGTCAGTCAATTCCGATGTATAGTTGGACCCTTTAGAACAGAGTAGAACTGCCCCATAGGGTTTCCAAGCCTGTAAATCGTCATGGATGCAGATTGCCTCATCATTCTCCCGTGGAACAGCTGGTGGATTCGAAGTGCCAACCTTTTGGTTAATAGCCAAATGCTTTAACCACTCTATCACCAGAGTTCCATTCTTTTTTTTTTTTT